GAGGGATCGGCCCCTGCATGGGAACTCATTTTGTGATCTTTTGAGTTTGCCTCGTTCGGAGCAAGATCGGCATTCCTAGCAGATCGTGAAAAAGGAGTGAGCACTGGCCAAGAATGGGGTGGATCCGAAGGTGCGCGGTTAAGCACCGAGTTTAAACCTGGGGCGATGGTTGGTGTGTAGGGTGAACGGGCGAATTGGACTACCTGTACTCCATAAATTGGAGTAGGTTTCAGTAAATTGGACGGTGAGGCAGTGATTGGATTCCTAAGTGACAACGTGTCTATAGCCCCCGTTCCTTTGGGTTTCTACTCCGCCACTCGGTTTGTTGTTGACTGTGATAAGGATCGATCCACCTGCACCTGGACCTTGTGTGGCGTCACGCCGCAGGCGTCAGAACACCCGAGTGTTGGATTTTGAATAAACTTCAGCTATAGGAGTCGGTGACGAAATACCCGCAGTGTTTTTGTAGTTGGCTATGCTTCCGTGTCTCTATATATCTCAGACCTGGCGAGGCGCTGTGTCACAGGGCCCTGCAAGTACAGCTTTTAGGGTCCGGACTGCAGGCTTTGTTTGGCTTAAGCTGGTCTAATTCCGAACAGCCAGCTGATTCTAGGTTGCAACCTATCGGGAGCACTCTTAGTTTCAACTAGAGACACAGCTCAGCACCGTACTGCCCGCACTGCCCGTCATGCCTGGACTGCCTCCCTGGGACCGTCTGTACAATGACCGAGCATAATCCGATCGTCAAGACCTAGAGGTGAGATGAACAAGGAGAAAAAGCCGAGGTAGCAAAGTAATGTAATTTTCTATTTAATTCTATTTAATTTGTTAATTACAGTAGAACAAAGGAACGCACGGCTATCTGAGTGACCCGAACATTCTCATCAGATGCTACACCGTAAAGAGCTGATGACATGGCGCTAAAGCAAGCCAAATTGACTTAGTCCCGCAGCTCCCTCCCGCTGCATTCCTTAGAAACGGGCAATCAGAAACCCCGACTGGAACGTCTGGAAGGACGAAGGAAGCTGGGATCGGCCCCCCTTGCCCCATTAGTGGGGGCTAAGGAGTGAAACGGAGTTCATGGCATACACACGCCCTTTCGGAGGTTACTTTAGTGGAGACCCCCAAGGAGGCTGATCAAAGCCCGATGTAGCGTGGTCTCGGACGGCGACCGCCTGAGTGCCCTCGAATCTTGCCTGGCATGCAGGGTTTGGAGAGAAATCCTGAGTCCAGAATCCCAGAGTCCCAGAATCCCAAATCCATAATCCTGTCGGATATGTCCGTTGTTCCCGTTCCAAGGGGTGTGTGACCAGGTGTGATGTCTTACTATGTTGTTACGGTGTGCCATACTCCAGAGATCGGCAATTTTAGATGGTGTCAGCGGTCCACTAGGAGGAGAACTTTGATTATTATTGATTTAGCCCCCCTTCTGGAAATTGTACATTGTCTCCAATTCCTGCCAATCTTTTGCCAATGCCAAGTTTTTTTCTTTTTTTTTTTCGGTTTTTTTTACTGTGGCCCCTGCTGTGCAGGAAGTGGGCCTGCAAATGTGTTCCGGGCTGTTGCCGTGTGGATGTGTTTTGCAGGCATATCGAGATCAGCTGTGATTCGTATACATGTAGCAATTACGTGTAAGACGTGGCCCTAATAGGTTGAGGTTTACACTGCCATATCCTGGAATATGAAATATGGAATACTATAGTCCATGGTGGACATCCAAATCCAAGACCCCTGAAATGGCCTGTTCTTGGCTTTGAGCCCTAAGCACGATCAGATCCGCCCGGCCACGTTGTGAATGGTGGCTCAACCACTCGTTTCCTGATCGGTGACACAAAGTGGGCTTTAATTTCTTTTCATTGGATTCTGAAATTGGTGTCAATCTTGCCCGGGAATATAGTAGACTGGTCATATCTCCACTCATAATTGAAACGTCAACCGCATGAAAACTCCGTTCCGCACCCAAGGCCCCAATGGACGGTACCTAGCTCCACGCGGGTTCAACGCTTGGGATTGCCGAGCTTCCCGCTCAAAGACACGCATGTTCTGGTTTTGGTGGCGCCCTTTTATGGACCGATGAAACAGGTCCACAAAACGTTGAGGCACTCGGATCGATACGCTACCATGAGCTACATATTGGTTGGTGCCCACCCCTCTTTTTCTCAGGTGATACTAGAGAATGACCTCGAATGCTGATCCCGACAAAAATGCAGGTAGCCTAACACACGCACTATGGCCCAAGTTTCTCTTTTCAGCCAGTCCGAATGATTGGTGGAGATGTCTATTTTGGGGATAACATGGACCAACAAATAAACAGTCCCTACACCACTACCTTTGTATATTAGGTAGACTGTGCAGTAGTAGAATAAGATTGCTCACCTTTAGGTGGCAATGATGCATCTCCTGCATCATGTACATGTACTCCGGATAGGAGAATGTGTGCATGAGAATAGCCGGGTATGTGTACAGTAATGTAAACTTTAGGAAGGGGTCCGCCAAAGAGTATGACGGTCTATTTTCTACACTCCACTTCCCCCCCCCTGTATGTAGAAAGCTATCACATTGTAACCCTTGCGTAACGGGTCCAGTAGGGGTAATAAAATAGTCACATTCTTATAGCGCTCAGTCTGAGGTATTGGTCGCAGATCGGTCCGAATCGTAGGTCACAAAGCATTCCATGGGCGGTTAGAGGGCCAAGGTTCTTGACTCTTTAGTTTTTCTGTAGAAGCGAAAAGAGAAACTAGTCCTTCTTAGGCCTCAAACAGGGCCCTAGTACGTACTATAGATAATTAATAAATGTAAATAAAATAAGTCTAAAAAAAAAGAAGAAAAAAGAAAGGAACACGGGAGTAGCCCCAGACTAGGCCCGTGTGAGGGTCCATTATACTCCTAGTCCTACTGTATCCATGTACAGCTAATGTATGAATCTTCCCCATGTTCGCCTCAAAAAGCATGTTCCATGTTCCCACAGGTCCGATCCCCCCCCACTTTCTACTCCCTATTTGCTGCACTCCGGAGTATTCCTGGCCCTTGTCGAAACGGTAGAACTGCCCTGATTCATGGCTTCGGTTCCAGGTTACCTTTTATTTGCGTCTAGGCTCCTTTAGTGTCAACGTCGTGTCATCTTAGCATGTGCTGTGGGATCGTAGATCAGGCTCCCTAGATTCCTTTTTATAAGCCCTGCCTTGCCTGATCTTCATACCTCACTCTCTCTGTTCCTGAAGGAACATTGGCCTTTCACGTCCCACCTTTTAATTTTACCCTATATTTCCACCTACGTAAGCTGTTACCGCCACCATCATACTGACTTTATATACTGACTCCATTTCCCCTTCAGGTCTAACTATACTCTTGACTTCTTTACACTTCTCTTATATGGCCAATTACTACTGTCAACCACAGCCCTCTTCGACAGGCTCCCAATGGTTTCAAGACAATGCAACTTATAGCCAAACCATGCAGGATCTGGTCCGTGCCTTCCCTCGGCCGAGACACACTCGGGTCGTAAAGCCTCGTAGTGCTGGCAACAGTCCTTCAGCAATGAACAGACGGCGGTCGACCGTCAGCCAGAATGTGATGCTTGGCATGCCTACTCAATATCAGACCTCCTTGGAAGAAGCCCTCCTTGCCTCCGCGGTCCGGAAATCTCGCCCGACCAGTTGGCACCCATCATCGGCAAGAGCTCGGGGCCTTTCAAACCCGCAATGCATGCCCGATTACATCTCGGACAACTACGCCGGCATCGGTCCTCTCCCTGATCAGTACTTGAACTCAGCAGTCTACGGGGGCGACGATGTCATGTCATATCCCATGACGGCGGATCCATCCTTCTCGCCAAACAGCTACTTCCCAGTCTATTCGGACATGCAAGAGGAGTTGCCACTCCCGCAACAGCCCACGATGCTCTCAATGACTGGCTCGCAGGTCGAGCCGATGCCATGGGACGTTACCGCCATGTCAACCGATTTTTCAGCCATGTCGCAGCCGGCTTCCGACAACTGGACCTTGGATATGCTCTCCATGGGAACCAACATCCCCCCACCGGAGACAACCTGTCCAAGCTATGTCAGCGTCCCATCGCCCGGTGAAATGAGCGGACCATCAACACCCGACTTTCTTCCGATTCAACAGTTCGAAGATCCAATCCAACCGATCGCTGTGCCAAAGAAGGCCGGCAAGCCCGAGGAAGAACTGGTCGGTATGGGTCTCTACAACCAGCCCAACGGAACATTAGCCCGCGCCCCACAATCAAAGTCGGGCAAGGGTCTCAAGCTCGAAGAGACATTCACGCCTTCCGACGAAGACAAGGATGACGAGGCGGACGCAGAGGCCGAGAGCGTCGGGCAGCAATCGCCCCAGCAACCAGTTGTCTCGGATGAACTTGCTCCGGTCCACCAGTCGACTTTCATCCCCAAGCAGCAGCCCAAGCAAGCTCTGAACCTGCTGCATCGGTCTTTCTTCTTCGAACACGATGACGCTGATCAGCATTCCATGACTGCTCAGCCATTCGCCGCCTTGAACCAACCCTGCATGAGCTACGGCTACGGGTGGATCTGAGCCGGTCGCTCGACACACCTTTTTGTTTGCTTTTTATCAACATTTTTAGCTTAACAGCGGCATAGCGTGGAGTTTATTACTATTATTTTGTGGCGTCGGATACACGGATACCCTGGGACGATATGACTCGTATCCCATTACAATTTTGTTTGGAAGTTGATCAATGTACTCAAACGATCTGACATACAAGTTCGCTGAAGAATATTTACTACTACATCTCACATAACTCCTTTCCTTGTAAGATACTTAAACTCGTTTGTTGATGGACGAAGTATACAATCCTCTACTCTGATTGGCCAGGAATAAACAAGCATCGGCAAAATCTCCCCAAGGAAAAACCATCTGCCGAGAATATTTCGCGGCGAAACATCAAGCTCGAAAAGTCATGCAAGCATAGCAGAATTCATACAACTTCGAATTTACTTGTTTGATTCCGGGCAGCAGAAATGGCAAAGGTCATTTTCACGGCTTGGAAGTCCAAGTCTGAGTTACTGGACGTGCGGAATGAGTTTTATCCCACGTCGTCATGTGAAGGACCCGATAGGCGTGCTCATGGCTGTGCAGTGGTATGTATGACTGGATTTATTCAGATAGGGCATTGATCACTGATATTTGCGTTTATCAAGGTCGAGGCTTGGAAGCTACGTGGCAATGTGCCGCATCACGTCGAGGCTACTGCCTTGTTAACAGATGCCATTCTCCATGATGATGCGGAGAGCAATTCCATCTTCTCTATTCGGGCGACTTATTCCGCTGCTTTCTGTCGGTGAGTATCATCGGCTCTACTTCCCTTTTTTTGGGGGGGGTTTGAATCTATGAAAATACATTCATTCCAACACATAACTGACACCACCTACAGCTTCGTCACCGGCCTGGTAGACACCAAAATCCACGGCGTTCGCCGAACAATGTTCCAGCGCGCAATGGATCTAGGCCTCCCAGCCTCCTTCGTGGAACTCCGCCACGAAGCAACCCACCGCGAGCCACCATCTCTCGTTGTCCTGCGCAAGGCAGCGCAGCGCTCGCTAGAGTGGCTCTGGGACAACTACTGGGCTGGTATTGCCGATGCAAGCTACGCGCCTGTATTAGACCATGACGATGGTGCATCTGTTAAGGCCGCTCTGGAAGATGCTTTGCAGCCTCTTTGTGGTGCGGATGCGGATGGGCAGGCCGTTTCTAAGAAGCGGAAGCGCGATTTCGGTGTTTCGGTTGCTATGCAGCTTGTCTCTATCTGTAATGTTTCTGCCGGTGCCGTTAGGCTTTTGTCGGAGGTTTTGCTTGAGAGGGGTGTTTTGGTTCCTGCTGGAAGGAAGTGAGTTGATCATCTTGCCCGTGTTTTCGGGATACTCTGGATATGAGGGAGTGGACTGGTGTGCTGACTTTTTTGTGAAATTTAGGCTTGGAGAGTCTTTGAATGATTCTTTCAGAGAATGGGACCCTGTCCTGCAAAGGGTTGCTGAGACTCATCCTTCGTTCTTAAGGCACCTGACAGAAGATATGGTCAATGATCTCGCCTTCAAGAACCCGGCCGATGCAGCTGAGAGTCCGCTATCTGAAGCTATGTATCTGTGGCTGTCTCATATCCTCACACATTCGTTCTGGGAATTCCACAGGCAATCATGCCCGCAAAGCTATGTTATACAAGCTTGCGATGAGAGTCAACACCACTTTACGAAATTGTTGAGCCGCCATTTAAAGAAGCAGGCCGATGGATTTAAAAAGGCTCCAAGCTCTCGATCTGCTACCAAGAACCGTGTCTCGAAAGACAAATCTACCAGGAATGGTTCATCAGGTGCAGGCTTCCAGCTCTCAGAGAAGCTGCAGCAGCATGGGTGGGGATTCGTGGAAAAATGGGATAATCGGCCTCTGGGCGTCGTATCGAGTAATTAGACAGAACTTGTAAAAGAACAAAATGAACATGCTGCTGGCAGCAATTGAATATAACAAATGTCTACTAAGTTATATGCCAAGGAAAAATAGTTCATCCGGATGACGTTGCTGATCCGCGAGCTGCTGCTTCTCGTTGCGTAGATCTGAGCACGCCCCTCAGCAGCATGATCACTGATTGCTAATCAATCTGGTCTCCTCTGATTTGCTGCTGAACAAGGCCTCAATAAAATGTAATGCGCTAGCCCTACTCACGTCCACCACGCTAGACATGCTCCAGTACCCTGTTGTAGCTGTCTGGCGGATAGTAAATCTGCATTGACCGATAGCGAGCCAGATCAATCTCCTTGAGGTAAGCCTCCCAGGAAAGTGCATCAAGATGACGACCACCATCCTTGTACTCAAGAAAATTCAGCTCCTTTCTCGCGCAGAAATTAGTAAGTCTTCCACCTCGGTGGCTAGCGATCCATGATCTCATGTAATTGGATCGACCCGCCTGCAGAGCCGAAGAAAGAGCGACTGTGGAACACATAAATAATGTTAGCCTAAACCTGACAGCTTTGAAAGACTCTCTGTCGTAAAATTGGTAATTGAGCCATGACAGGTCAGGAAAATTCTCTCAAAAGAAAAATGCGAATATATGTACACGTTGGTTCAAGCAAGGCGTATCGTGATTATAATTTGTAGGCAGAAAGCACATCCCGAAAGCCAGAGATGTCTTGGACCACCTAACCCAGCTTTTCTGTCAATTGTTACGAAATAGTGAGGCTTTTATCGAATCCCAGAGTATTTTTTGGCGTCTCCTGCAGATCTTAGAGAGTTCATCTGGAAAAGAAAAGGGCTCGTATTATTCCGTGTGATGCGCAGGTCGTGATCAATACATGTATGGAACGGGAGGGGGGAAATATCTATAAGAGCGGTCACAAAATAAAAGATTGTGAGAGGTAAACATTGGAATTGCCTTGATATAGACTGAACGCTAGAGGCCGTTGACTTATAGAGGGGTGGCAGGCTGTCACGTGCCACAGATTATATGCCCAGACTGAAATGTACTTACCCAGCTTGACTCCAAGTCTCACAGGTAAAGCTTCCCCCACATTCTGATTGCTTGTAATGAACTTCTTAAGGACTCGGTTATCTGGATCTACTTCGCCTCTTTTCAGATCTCAGCTCAGAGCCATGCATATCCAATCAATTCCCATGTGTATGTTGGGCTCCAGATCTTCAAGAACACCGTGTCGTATACATCAACATTGGAACTGTGTTTGCTTACTCTAGCTTTGACATATAGGGACGGGGAAGGGCAATAACTACGCCTACCTTGTGACCGATGAGCCGACTAAGAAGTCGGTTATTATTGATCCTGCCAACCCGCCTGAGTGAGTGCCCTGCAGATTGGGTTGGGATATCTAGGCATTGCATGTGTGCTAATTTGTTTCTACTGGCAGAGTTGCACCGGAATTGAAGTCTCAGATTGATGCTGGCAAGATTGATCTGACAGCCATTGTTAACACTCACCAGTATGTTGAGTCTCTTTGAATGAGCTGGATGGAGTCCAAATTTACTGACAATTCATAAATAGCCACTGGGATCATGCTGGCGGTAACAATGATATTGTATGCATGATCTCTTGATCTGTTAGGTCTCGTTTTCCACGCTAACTGTTTTACTAGCTGAAACAATTCAAGGGACTCCAGGTCATCGGTGGTAAGGACTGCGAGTCTGTTACCAAGACCCCCGGGCATGGTGATGAGTTCAAGATTGGAGATCGTATCTCCGTCAAAGCATTGCACACTCCTTGTCACACGCAAGATAGCATCTGCTACTACATGCAAGATGGAGACCAACGTGTTGTGTTCACAGGCGATACTCTGTTCATTGGTGGTATGTCTGCTATTTTTCCCCCCTTCCATGACTGTTCAGTCCGTTGATGAACTCGTATACTGACCTTTGAACCAGGATGTGGCCGATTCTTTGAAGGAAATGCAAAGGAGATGCACAAGGCCTTGAATGAGACCCTTGCAGCTTTACCAGATGACACCAAGGTTTATGTAGGTTGGCCCTCTTGCTTCTGTCGAGATGTATACTGACATCTTTCAGCCCGGCCACGAGTACACCAAGGCGAATGTGAAGTTCTGCATTGCGGTCTCTCAGACTGAGCCGATCAAGAAGCTCCAGGCGTTTGCCGAGCAGAACCAGCAGACACAAGGGAAATTCACCATTGGCGACGAGAAGGTAGGAACCAATTGGATTTTATTGTTCTCGGTCAAGGCTGACAGTTTCATAGCTCCACAATGTGTTCATGCGTGTCCATGTAAGTTCTATACCCTTTACTCTTCCATTTACTGGTGCTCATTCCATATATTCAGGACCCCGAGATCCAGAAGGTTACTGGCAAGACCGATCCAGTGGATGTGATGGCAGCATTGAGAGAGATGAAGAACAACTCATAAAGTATCAAAGTCTGGTTAGCGTAAATGGAAGGTGTATATCCTATTACTGTCTCCGTTCCGATAGATTCTCGTGGAAGGGATGTTTCGGCGAGAGCGAGCTCTCCCGAGGTCTAAGTAATCTGCCAAGCTGGAAAAAGGCAAATAAACATAATATCCCGGTGTTTCTCTAATTAAACAATTTACCCCAGAAGTTCGGACAAACCCCGACAATATGTGCTGTTGTTCCAAAGCCGACGTCATACCCACCCACCATTCCACGCCAACCCACCGCTCCGCAGGTCTCCTCCACCACTATGAGAGAGTGAGAACCTGGACAACTCCAGTATTTCAGCGCGATGGACAAGGCAGCTGTGGATGATGTAAGTGGTCATCATTAGACATAGATATCCCAGGGACTGATCAGTGTCAGAGCCATGGAGGGTCGAGCGACACAGAGGCTCAGAACCATCTGGAGGTACGTTGCCACAGCTTCTTAACAACTTTCAAACAGTCATTGACTCAAGCCCAGGTAGTGTTCTACCCCGACTCTAACCACCGCCGCAAGTCCTCCCTCGTTACGATGGAAAAACCCAATGTCCTACCCCACCTAGCCCAGAACGACATGACGACCGCCTGTTACGTCCACAATCTCATTGCAAGCGAATGGACAAATCCCCCCAAACATCCCCGGGACATAGAAGAAGACGCAATTCGAACATTAAACGAAGATGATGAGCTCGCGGCCAACCTCAAAGCTCCGCAGCCGGAAACTCTGTTGTCTATTGTGGACGACGAGACCAAAGGCAACATCAGACCAGCACCGACAATCATTGAATCTCGACATCTGACGAAACGACAGCTCTCAGATATGGCCTATAATGTGCGCAAACTATCTAAGAAGCTGGGCAGCATCAGACTCAAGCTCACAGTCAAGAATGTCTTTGTGGTATGCAAGGCGCAGGACGAATCACTGGTTAGCCTGACTCGGAAAGTGACTAGGTGGCTACTCTCTAAAGACCGAGACTCCCTTTACGTGGTCTATGTTGAGCGCCGACTGGAGACGCACCCGGATTTTGGAGCGCTGCAACTAGTCGAGGACGAGCCCTCTGCGCAGGGCCGGCTCAAGTATTGGGATCCTAAGCTTGCGCATGAACGCCCCCATCTGTTTGATTTTGTGATCACACTCGGCGGTGATGGCACTGTTCTCTACACCAGCTGGCTGTTCCAGCGTATCGTGCCGCCGGTGCTTTCTTTCGCGCTGGGCTCATTAGGCTTCCTGACCAAGTTCGACTTTGCGGATTACCAAAAGACACTTGAGACTGCGTTTCGGGAGGGCGTGGTCGTCAGTCTTCGATTACGGTTTGAATGTACCATCATGCGCAGCAAAGCCCGCGCTAAAGACCCGGATGCGCGAACTTTCTCAAATCGAGATTTGGTAGAGGAATTGATTGGAGAGGAAGGGGAAGACACATTGACGCATACTCCGGATCGAGTGTATGAGATTTTGAACGATGTCGTTCTCGATCGCGGGCCAAACCCAAGTATGATGATTCTCCTCCGTTTTGGTATCCAGTGTGAGGTTCCACAGCAGTAAATGCTAACCGTCTTCTCTGCAGCCATGTCTCAAATTGAACTCTTCGGCGATGATGAGCATTTCACCACCCTGCTTGCAGATGGAATCTGCATTGCTACCCCAACCGGCTCGACGGCTTACAATCTCGCTGCTGGCGGGTCTCTCTCTCACCCGGAGAACCCTGTCATCCTTGTCACCGCAATCTGTGCTCATACGCTATCCTTCCGGCCGATCATTTTACCAGATACCATTGTCTTACGTATGGGTGTACCGTACGATGCGCGGACGAGCTCGTGGGCTAGTTTCGATGGACGTGAGAGGTATGTTGCTGCATATGTATATTATGCTAGGATTCTATATCTGACTGACCTTCTACTCCAGGGTCGAGCTACACCCCGGCGACTACGTTACAGTGTCAGCGTCAAGATATCCCTTTGCCAATGTCTTACCTCACGGTGGGCAGGGTGAAGACTGGGTGCATAGTATTTCCAAGACGTTGAATTGGAACTCGCGACAAAAGCAAAAGAGTTTCAAGTAACACGGCTGTTGGCAATATGCCGCGTCGCCTGGAGACATGATTTCTTTGACCATTTTACGTATTTTCTGTCTGAGTTTGGGGGTTACTTTTTTGGACAGCCACCGAGTGGCTTATTTACGGAGTACATATGGGTTCCATACTAAATCTAGGCCAAATTTCGCCTGATTGGGCGCTGGGCTTTGGCTAACAAATTTACAAAAAAAAATCTTAACTTGATATCGATTCCTTGGACACACATAGCTTCAACACGTAACTTTAACTTATTTTTAATAGTCCTTGTGACATAAATACAATTATTGTCCTTACTGTATGTTTCTATTCACCGGGTGGACTCTTATTTTTTTTTTTTTTTTTGCTAGAAGCTTCGTATGGGTCAACCAGCTGGTTTCCGGGGCAGCTCCGCTCGGCCCTATAAAAGGCCTTCGCCGGCCCGAAAACTTTTTCCTTCTTCATCTTCCTCAGTTTCTCGACTGCGAAGTTTTATGTTGGCTTCCACGAGAAAAAAATCCATTTGAAGTACATTATCGCCATGTACTTCTTCTACTGACTTGGTAAGTCGCAGACTTTTTCTTCATTCTCCCTTTGCACCCATCAGCCAACGGCTACGCCGTTCGAAGATGAAAAACTTCCTACATTCGCAGTTTCCACGCTAGCCGTCGCTTGAACCCAATCAAGGCGGCAATGGGCGGAATATCTTCCTTGGATGTCTGAGAACTATTTGGCTGTTCTTTGGAATTATTTTCTATCGAGTTTTTTACAGTCGGACGGGCGCTAATTGTGTCTTCAGAACAGCATCTTGTTTCATCATCACCCTCTTGGGATACTCGATACTATCCTTTGCATACACACATACACTCAGCTTGCTTTGCGCGCTGCTTCTGGTTGCGTTGTCGCCGCAGCTCTTGCTCGGTGGTTTGCGATTTATCTTCGCATGAAGCACTGCTGAGTGCTTGTGCTGTTGTGCTGGAAACAATATTAGTTTAGCATGAATATATGGTACATTTCGCTGAAAACTTTCTACTCTGTAACGCGTAAAATCCAAGTAGTAACGGTATCCCTCGTAGACAACTTGGAAGTTCCCAGCATGAAATTCTCCGAGGCTGCACCCGAGGGAGATGTGCTCCGCCGTAGCTATCGCATCCACTGCATGTTCACCCACCTCAACCTCCCCATAGATGCCATGACCACAGCGCAATCCATGAGCTCATATATCGACATCAATCCTCTGGACTGTTAACATCGTTCGACATCTAACACAACCATGGCTGCGCCTCCCCGGCACTCCACGATGCTGTCCATCAGCAATGGCGGGACGCAGCAATCAGGGCCAAACGACAAACAGACACAACAACAAGCCCAGACATTACCACAATCCCCCGGTCTTCGAGTACCATCCAATCGCAAAACAATCTACGACCGACACCTGAACCGCAGCCGCAATGCAGAACTCAGCCGGGCAAGCTTCGCCTATTTATTCGGAGAGATGGTCACGTATGCCCAGCGGAGGGTAACAGGTATCCAAGACCTCGAGAAACGGTACGCTACACCACTGAACCAAACCCGCAATCTCCCATATACAGCCCGACAGACCCATCCAATCTATCAAGAAATACCATACTGACCCAACCCCCAGCCTAAACGAACAAGGGTACCCCCTCGGCCTCCGCCTCCTAGACCTCCTCTTCTACCGCTCAACATCAACCTCCTCCTCAGCCCTCTCAAGCTCCTCAACCTCCTCTTCACCACCCAACCGCCCCCTCCGCATCATAACCCTCCTGCACCTAATCCACGGCCCCCTCTGGCGCCTGCTCTTCGGTCGTTCCGCAGATGCACTCGAGCATTCCGTGTCTCCAGACACGCCTAATGAGTACATGATCACGGACAACGACCCGCTAGTAAACACATACATCAGCGTGCCGCGTGAGATGAGTATGCTCAACTGTGCTGCCTTCGTGGCTGGTATTATCGAGGGTGTCTGTGATGGGTGTGGTTTTGAGACGAAGGTCTCGGCGCATAATCAGCCTACTGAGATGTGGCCTAGTCGGACTGTGTTTCTGGTTAGGTTTGGGGATAGCGTTATGGAGAGGGAGAAGGTTTTAGAGCGGGCTGGTGTTAAATAAATTATGATCATGGATCCGTGTTAAGGCTATACGTCCATGATGACGTGGGATATGCCTGACTTTGAGACATGCATTCTGCTTGAGCAGATGCCCGGTCGTCGTGCTCTTGCTAGCTTGATAGATCAATGGCGTTTGGGGGGCTATGTCGTGGCATCTTGTTGGGTGGTCAGGCGCTGATTGTTTGACGTTCAAAGTCCATGATTCTGGCGCCGGCGTTTCCTGGGAGTCTCATGGAACGTACGGGTTGTTGTCCGGATCTGGGAGCTCGCCATATGTTGCTTCGAATGTGGGAGTCTATGTACAAAAGTCCTTGACGGCCTGATATTACAATACAATTCCTCCAGGAGAGGACATGCTATATTACATACAAACATAGAACTTGTTCCAAGGTTGCACGTTGCTCCTAATGCAGATATCAAATCAAATCCACCCATGCACTTTTCAGAACCCAACGCCAATGACCAAGGAGATCGGATATCTAGACGTACTCACGAATCCACACGCCGCCTCTTCTCCCGGTCCTCATAAGGCGACGGGCTTCGCTTCCGTCTCTCCCTAGATCGACTCCGATCATACCTCCCCGAATCCCTCTCACGCCGATCCCGATCCCGCCGCGGCGAACCCGACCTAGACCTCGACCTCCGCCGCGGCCTGACAACACTAGCATTAGCACCAGTCGGCCCGCGATCACGGTCACGGTCATCACCACGGTCAGGCATAAACCGTTCATCAGTTACACCCTCAGGTGGCCCATCCCTCCTCCTCCGATTCTCAAGCCCATCCCCAAACCGGCCCGTATCCTCAGTCTTCAAATCCCGATACCGAGTCCGGCCCTTCTTGCCCAGCTTGGTCATATCGCGCACCTGCATATACTGCGGCAGCGTATCACGATTAACATCATCCTCAAATCGAGCACCCATGAGATTCCGCTGATCCAGACCCTCCGCCTCTTGATCCCCGCGGAAGAAAGCACCCTTGTGGAAATACCGCTGCATAAAGCCTGTCTGGCCGCGCGTAGCCTCGCGTTCTTCCTTCTGCTTCGAAATGAACTCGCGGTCTTCGCGGTCCCGCTCTTCGGCTGTGAGGTTGCGCCGGCGCTCGATTTCTTCGCGTTCTTTCTCGGCTTCTTCGATTGCTTCGCGGGATCGCTTGACGCGCTTTAGTTCGCGCAGTTTCCAGGCTGCGCGCTCGGCTTCTGGATCGACGTCGTCTTTGTCGTCGATTGCTTCTTCATCGTCGGCTTCGACGAGCTCGTCGTCGTCCCAGGCTCGGTTGGCTGTTGAGCGTGCGATTGCTTCTTTTTCGAGTTGATCGCGGATTAGCATGTCTGCTTTTTCTTTGCGTTGTGCTGCGCGTCGGGCTTCTGCTTCCGCTGCTTGGTCTGCTGCGCTGGTTTTGCTCTGGGTCTGGCCGGCAGACTCTTGGGCGGCGTTGCGCTTGTCTTTTTTTATGAATGTTGGTCGGATGAGTATGCGTCGCGGTGCTTCGTCTTCTGAACTGCTTTCTTCTTCTGAGCTTTCTTCTTCCTCTTCCTCTTCCTCCTCCTCCTCTTCTTCGCTGCCAACCGGTCCAGATGCGGGAACAGTCTTAGGCACTGCAGGCTTTACGTCGTAGGCTGTAGTTTGTGGCACAGCTTTTGGCGCAGGGGCGGCCTCGTCTTCTTCGTCCTCGGTGACGAACCCTTCTTCATCTTCATCTTCCTCGGTCTTTTGTGCTACTGCAGCTGCAGGGAATGAACTAGCTTTGGGTTGCTGTCTCCGGCGCTGCGCCTCGGCTTGTCTGCGCCGCTCTTGTTCTCTTTGCGCCTCGACATCCTCTTCCTCTTCCTCCTCTTCAGAAGAGGAGAGGTCTTCGGGAACTGCCTTTCCGGGGCGGTAGCGACTGGGTTTGATAGGGTTTGCTGTCATCCCCCGGTGGGAGGAGGGGAGCGGAGGAGGCATTGTCGATGGATTGATGCGTAGGAGAGGGAACAGGGTTCAAAAGGGTAGTTATATGAAGATCTCAGTCTCCTGGCTGGAAGCTCCAGCGCAAAGTATTGCGGCAGTGTGGAAGGAGCTATGATGTTGATCTAGTCAACTGACGTACCGGGCTGAAGCTTTTGCTGAAACGATATCCGGTCACGTGATGATATCAAAGCTGCGAGTAATGAACAGCTGGATTTGGCCGTACCACTAAGTGGCTCTGGCTGTCTGATTTACTGTCAAGATTGAGTCCATCGCCCTGCTTGCAATTGTAGCTTAACGGGTACAATCTGTTCAATTTCAGCGCAGCAAATACAGCCAAGCTCATCGCATACTATTCAATCACCACGTGACCACGCGACCCGCGATTCACGCGTCGATCAACTCCACGCTCGCTCTCAAACAAGCCAAGGCGTCAAACCCCCATTTTTCAAGCAGTTTACCGGAGCACGATCTCAGCACAGATAAAAAAATTAGCAATCGGTCAACATGTCTCTTCAAACTCCCCGCATTCTCCCCTCCCACCTCCACGCCTTCCACCCCTCCAGCGCTGGTTCGCACACCACATACACCGTGCGTTTACTCGGCACCGTCACCGCATTGCACGGCAGCACTGGAACCCTCACCTGTGGAAACAACGGTGATGTCACACTTATCTTGAAGTCCGATGCGCGGCTGCAAGTCGGGAAGCTGGTTGAGGTTGTTGGGAAAGTGGCTGATCTTGAGGGTGGTCAGGTGTGTTTTATACTCTTCTTCTCTGGGGGGTTGCTGGCCTTGAAGGCTTGAAGCTGGGGCATAATACTTATGCGAGAGTGGCATGCTAATGTGGGTTAACTTATAGGGATACGGACTTCGTGTTTTGGGCTCTACGGAGTGGGGTGACCCTGCTGATTGCGGTATGTATCCTTCCTTTGCTTTGATTAAGCAGGATATGTGTACTGTACCGAGATACTGATATGTAATGCAGATTACAAGATCTATGAGCAGGTTGTCAATGCTACGCATCGGTTCACAAACATCTTTTACAACGTCGAGTAAAGGATTGGCAGGCGAGAACTTCAAGCATATGGGTTGTGCTTCTTTCCAGTGAAAGTGAACTGTCTGTCTGTGATGCTTGATGGCCTGCTGTGTTGAGTGGAGTCACTGGAAAGTGTGAACTTCTCCAAAAAGACAGCATTGATTCCATATGATGTTGCAAGGCAGGCCTTAGCGGACTACCAAACAAGGTCTATCACCCGCATGGCCCAATCGAAGCCCGTCAATCTTGCAATAGATTAGACGATCTCATGGCGAGGACGGATTCGATGTTGGTCGAGGTATTGACACCGTCACTGTGGTTTTTCTTTGTGATTCCCTGACTTTTTGCATTTTACATACGAGGTTACGATCAAATCTTTTCCCAAGGACCATTGAGCTAGTCCACTTTGCTGAAACTCGAACATCGAGCGAAATTGTAGAGTAGGTCGAGTAACGAGAAAGTAACGAAAGGTCACGAAAGGTCACGAATAGGTACACTGGGTACAGCCTTCGAGACTTGAAAAGTCGAGAGCATGAAAGGTTGAGGACACACGAAAAGTTGAGGACACACGACAAGTTGAGGACACACGACAAGTTGAGGACACGCACAGTCGAGAGATCTGACGCAGCCGGCATCAAAGCCAAGTCCTTTCGCCTATGATCTCCTTCTACACGTATGAACCGTGAGACCAGAGCTAGTGTTGTGCTCGTTCAAGCAAGCGTTAAGCTTCTTTCAGCCACATGCAAATCTAACGAAAATCGTCCAAGGCGAGAAGGCACATGGTCACTTTTTGTCCCATTGAAAGCTGCCCTCACAACCTTCCATCTTCTCTCTTGCCCACTCACTCATTCCAACATGCATTACCAATGCCAAAGCTGCTGCATGTGCTTCGCCGTCAGAGAGGACTGTGAAAAACACATGGACTTAAAAGACCACAGAACTCCCTCTGCCCCCGGATTTCTTCAGGGCCAGGCACACGATGGGAACTCGAACGAGCAACTCCAGAGGTCTCTCTCATATGCCACGACGGGCACCCAACTCACTCGTGCTCTGAATGCTTACTATAAGCATACTAGCATACGATACAACCTGGAAACAGGACTCAACGAAAGTGTCCACAGCTACCATTCCATCGATGTGATTCTGGACACAACCAGCAACCGGGCCAAAAACTATGGATGCGCGGTGTGCGAGCGTCAGTTCAGCTCCCTGCTAGCTGTCAACCAGCACATGGACGTGAAGAGCCACTGGCCGGAGCAGTCACAACGTCCGCACCGCGCTCCACCTGGCTCTCGACCCATGGGCATTGCGGGCCCAGAACAGTTGTGGCCTGAAGAGCCGTTGCCTGCTTTACCCAACATGCAACATGGTTCTATCGACGTGAAGGAACAATATAACCCAGAAACAGGTAGATACATCTATCAATCCGTGAGAATTAGCAACATGAGAATTAACATAACAGGCGTTCACTTCACGGGAGGGTTTCCGTGCGAGACGTGTGATCGTCTGTTCAGCACCCAGCAAGGTGCTAACCAGCACATGGATGCTAAGGAACACTGGCCCCAGCCCCAAGATCAGCAACGCACTCACACAAACACCAGCACCAGCACCGGACCAAACACGAGCATACGACCTCACACACGCGCAGGCATCAGACCCCGGAGATATGCAAGACCAGTAGCAGCAATCATATCCTTCAAATGCGACACTTGCGAGCGTGTTTTCAACACCGAGGACGGAGTTGTCCAGCACATGGCTGTCAAGGCTCACTGGCGTATCTTTGGATGCGACCTCTGCTGTCTTGAGTTTCGGACTCGGGGCCAGCTCGAGCGACACACTGCCACCCATGACTCTTCGGAGCCAGAAATAAAGCGTGAACCAGATGTCCCTTTCGAGACAGATATCCCTTGTGAGATATGCCATCTGGTATTCCCCACTGCAAATGCTGCAGATAAGCACATGGCCGAGGTGCATTTTTGCAAGGAGTGCGGTGGGTTGGTCACAGATACGAACACGCACATGGAATGTTCGATGCTGTATGTTGAGGCTTTTTTGCGAGCTCAGTATACCTAAGGAAAGGCAGCGCCGGCAGCACGTTGAATTTGCCGCCTGGAGCGGCGCTCACCCTTAGCTCTTTCAAGCTAAAGAGAAGCGCTCGAGGTTCCTAAACAGATTGAAACTCAAAGTTGAACTGGACACAGTGCCGATTCCTAGTCTGAACTCTCGTTTTAAATGACATGCGGTTACTCCTAGCTTTTTCTTCTCTGATACCCGCAATATCATTTGTCCTTTTTCCTTTCTCTGACATTTGCTGGCCTTGGGCATCTGATCTGCGCTGTTCTTTTTGTACTTAGAAGCACATCGCCAAGGGACAACCTACAGCCAAATACCAAAGCATTTATTACCACCTGTGGGACTTCTTCACGGAGAGTTGTCATGTATGAATATGTATGGCTTAGATCCAATATTAATTATTCACTTCCCCTTAATACTTGTCATAAGTCTAGTCAATTGAACAAACCATCATTCCCGAGCTTGCATAACAGCCACCGTACTCGACTACCCACACACATATATGTAGCTATATATACCGGATTTTAGGCCGCGGCTGCGACTTGCCCAATTACGGTGCCGCCGCTTTACGAGGGCGCCCAGGGTCATGCTCACTAATCATTTCTTAGCATCGGGTCTCTCGTATTTTCGTGGTGGCTGACCCTTCGCATATTTAGAACATTGTTGTACTTTTTAGACTCATTACATGTACCGTTCATTGTGAATGCTAATCATGTCAGCCATCTACCGCTGGTTCGGCCCTCTCTACGACGCCCTCTTCTGCCCATCTCTTCCCTTCACCGTGCGATGGAGATTACTCGCACTCCAGCCTATCTCTCTCCTCGCAAACACTATTCAGTACTTCTCGTCGCGCGGCCGAGATAAGGGGACAGTGATCTGGATTCCGCTTCGTACGCCAGGCCTGTCCGCCCGGGCGATTATCTTTATCCCATCAGAATCGTCGCTCCCACGCACAAACAAAGGTATACATCTTAATATCCATGGAGGTGGATTTCTCGGCGGCCTGCCAGAAGGACATACACAATTTTGTCGAAAGGTGGCCGCTGAGAATGGGTGTGTTGTCGTCTCCACTTCGTATCGCTATGCGCCACGGTATACTTTTCCGGCAGCGCACGAGGACGTGCAAGATGTGGCCGAGTGGATGATCCAGAACGCAGAAAGGCTATGGGGTGCAGATCCAAGGCTTCTCACTGTCAGCGGATTTTCCGCGGGCGGGAATCTTGCGTTAGGAGTTGCCCAGCGATTGCATGGATCCGATTTTTGTGTCAAGGCGTCCGTGACCTTTTATGCGCCGGTCAGTAGCTTCTTTGTTCAAAGTTCTGGCTTTGGGAGCTAACACTGTATGGCAGGTTGACCTAAGATTGCCTCCGTGGGAGAAGCCGAAACCGCCAGGATTCCCGGCGAAGGACCCATTGGAATTTCTGTTACCTCTGATGGATGCATACGCAGGCCCGGATCGACAGAGGAACCTGGAGAACCCATTACTACACCCAATACTGGCTGATATTAGCTCACTACCGCGAAACATGCTGTTTGTGGTTCCCAGTGTCGATATTCTTCTACATGAACAGACGCTATTCATACAAAGACTAGAAGAAGAAGCTGCAGTGATTAATCGCCAGATATCACAGAATACAGAATATACCCGGAAGAAGCCATCGGAAGGTATTGCATTGGGCCCTTACCAAATTAAGAGCATGTTCTTCGACGGTCAGATCCATGGATGGCTAGAAGGTAACTTAAACTGTCAATTTCCTGGTTTGATGACTATGACTATACTCACGAGGAATAGTTCCATCGATCTTCATCGACACCAAGATTAGAGACCAAGTTTTCGATGACGCTGTTCATTTCCTTAGTGATGTTCATACCTCGAACGTGGAGCATCAGGGATGAAAGGGGCGCGGAGCATGTATATGTATCGTAGTTTTCTGTGAAATTATATTGAAAAGTCTCACCTCAATGGTAATGGTGAATGTCTGCTGAAAGGTTAGCTTTGTTATCGTTCAAGTGTCTAATACAGATACCTGAAGATAATCGACCGGGTATGGTACAGATGGAAGGTTGTTACCCTTGTCATTTGATATGACTACGGTTGTATGTTGCTCGGCAAAATATTCATATAACGTATGATTCATCAACGAAGATCTCTTCCTAGCTACTAACTTACATTCAATATACTGCATCTTCATACAGCCAATCAACAGACCCTCACTTGGTCTCCTCAGTATGAACGACATTCGCCTTCTCCTCGTCCTCCGGCAGATCATCATGGCCTACCGCCTCATCAAATGCATCCACCTTAGTCGATGCAAACTTCCTCGCGCTGACCTTTCTCTCAAAAAGGATATCCAACTCGGCGAATGTCCTTCCCGCCGGCTCGGGTACCCTGAAATACACGTAAATCACACACAACCCACAACTTCCAGCCCAGAAGAAACCGGCGAAGTTGCCCCAATCCCAAGCACCCGGATTGAGCATGTAGGGTGTCAACACGCTACAGATGATATTGACCACGATATACATGGCTCTTCCCAAGACGACCGTCTTGATCTGCAGCCTGCGCGTCGACAACTCCGCAACCAGCGAGTAGCACACCGTGCCGACGGAGAGCTGATAACAAACCGCCCACCCCAGCATGAAACTGCCTGTTGCCAGCGACGCCGCGTCCTTGTGCGAGTCGGGCACCAGGCCCAGGAAGCCCATAATCAGCAACATGACGAATAGCGCACACAAGCCGACCAGATACAACGACCGACGTCCAATCCCCATCGTCATCAGAAACCACGCCCCAAGCACACCCGCCATATTGATCCCGTACTGCCCGATCGCGAAATCATATGATTTATCCGTGGACAGCCCCGCCTGCTGCAGGAAATAGGTCGAGTAGTTGGAAAACGAGTTGCCGCTCAAGTTCTGGATCGCCCAGACCATACACACAATCTCCGTGCGGCGCAAGTCCGTCCCCCGGAAACAGTCCAGGTAGGTGGCGCCCTCGGAAACGGACTTCTCCAGCGCGTTGGTGTGGACCATCATCGCGACGGTTTCGTCAGCATTGAAGTCGGTTTCGCGGTCGAGGCTGGTTAAGCGCAGCAGTGAGTTTTTGGCGTCGGCGAGACGGCCCTTGCGGACGAGCCACCAGGGAGATTCGGGGGCAAAGAAGATGCCAATCAGCAACGGGACAGGCCACATCCATTGAAGGGCATAAGGGATGCGATAGGCCCATTCGTCTTCGCGCCCGAGCATGGATTTGATGACGCCCAGACCGATGGCTTGGCCGAGGCCCCAGCAGAAGTTGACGTAGGTGGTCAGGTATCCGCGCAGAGCGACGGGACAGACTTCGGCGGCATAGCTGATTGACAGGGTTTGGAAGACACCCCAGGGAATGCCGCAGAGGATCTCGGCCACGAGTAGGACCTGCACATTGGGAGCTGTGAAAAAGATGGCGGTGAATCCGATGATGAGAGTCAAGGACGCCATGACGGTGTATCTGTATCCGATGCGTTCGGAGACCCAACCGTTCAACAGGAGACCGATACTGTTCGTTGATATCAGCCAGGAACCCTCAAAATGTGTGTAATGTGCCTAGATGTGGATTGGATTTTTTTACATTTCCCCCACGTTCACACCATTGCTCAATCCCGCCTGCCACGGCGCCGGAACCTGATATGTCCCATCCGCCAACAACTCGCCATACTTCCGATTAAACTGCGGAAAGGCATAAAAGTTCGATAACAGGCATACGTCGTATCCTTCCATGGCGATGCAGGTGGAGATAAGAACACTCCAAGCGACGGCTTTCGGATAAAGCTTCAAACCCTGCCAGAGCGTCATTTTGTGTTCTTTGTCAGTGGCATTTTTGGCATTGTGCAGCATGACCGCATCGGCTTTCATGTTGTCGCCTGTTTCGGTGGAGGAGATAGTGACGCCGTGGGGAGCCGTGATGGCATCTTGATCGTGTTTTTCGGACGCCATTGCCGTTCAGACGATCAAGTCGAACACAAGAGATAATATATTGTGATGACTACGTTAGTTTTGTAGGTAGGCACACGAGCGCTAAAAAAAAAGGGCCAGAAAGATAGGGGAGACTAGTCGTTTTATAGACCTCAGCTGACTGGCGAGATTCGTTCTTCCCCGCAATAAATGCCCCAGACTGATGGGAAACCCCAGACCGATGCGGATCCTATCCCTCCTTAGCTTGACAGTACAATATACGAATAAGGATGGAGAATAGACCACCAGTGGATGCCGTTCTGATTACTCGCCCAGCATTTGTCTTTGCAACCACTGCAACCTTAATATTGAGCCAATCAAGTCGGTAGAGATTCTAGAACTCTACGAGCGAAATTCCCGTTGCCGACACCGGGAAACAGAATCCGGAGAGAAAAACACAGAACACCGTCGGCTTCGGAAAACGATATCCTTTTGGGAAATTACTCCAGGGCGCGTGATTAGCTGGATATATAATTACATGGTTCATGATAAAGTTACTGGAGAAGACACCCCCTTGGTAGAAAGAGCCACCGGACTCTCGGTAGCGTGGAGGCGGCTAAGTGTAGCGCACGTGGTTAGGGCTCGGGCTTCCATGGAGCTTCGAAAGCTTCGATTCCATTATCATGAAAGGCTCGTGTTTCCCACCTCTTCTCTTCTCTTAGATATAGAGATTCAACCCACTCTGCATCCTCACATTGCTTTTGACCACGTCTTTCTGTCGACTACTCTAGGTAGTAGGAGTTTATGATATTTAGGTAGAATTCTGTATGTTCCAGCATGTACTTACACCAAACTAACTCAGAGTACGGATCTACAGCAAGATGAAACATAATGATTATGAATAATTTTGATTTATTGATGTAGTCGTTCTGTCATAAGAAGCCGCATGGAATCTAAAAGATATCCCGGCTATCAATAGAAGCCTATCGCCTGCGTTTCAGGGGAATAACCCGAACAGAAAGCACAGCGAATGTAGCAGAGAAGTCCCGGCAAGGTGCACTTCAGGTCATCAGTTTGAAAAAATAAGGAAATAACAGGGGGTGGGAAATATCACAAAAGCCGTTGCCTGTATGCAACAAAACAAGAGACCACCCATACATGAAGAAAACCAGACGCCGTCGCTTGGAAACTCAAAAGGAAAACACAAATATGATTGGGAGAGAGGACATCAGTAGATGGATGTGACCTCGGTATTAGGCAGAGGGGTTTGCCTGTTGGGCATCGGGGTTCTGGCCAGCAGACTGGGTCTTAGGAGCCGGACGGATGGGGTCGGTGTGGAGAGCGTCGGAGCTAAAGAAGCCGGAGTCGGGGACGACAGACTCATCGAAATTGAAGGGGAGGAATTCGGAATTGAGGTTGTCTTTGTTCACTTCGGATTCGGAGAAGAGGGTGTTGATTAGGTCCTCGGCGGGACCGTCAGATGATCCGGTGGGGGAGACGTAATCTTCTGGGAGCCAGTCGGCCCAGTTGTCGCCGTCGAACTTGGCGTTCTGGAGGAAGAAGTGGTTGGGCTGGTCTGCATCGTCGAAGATGTCGAGGATCATGCCGTCCAGAGATTCGAAGGCCTCGGAATGGAGGCTTTCGTCGGTGGTCAGAGGAGCGAAGGGCTGTTGCTTGTTTGGTGACTTTTGCTGGCGGGGGCTATCCTGACTTGCTTGAATACGCTGCAGGCGCTCGGCTGACAACCGGGTGGGAGTCATGGCCGAGCTCAGATCCTTGCGTCGGTTGGCACTTGGGGAGTTCATAGGCAGCGCCAAACGCTTTTCGACCGATGTATTGGCTCGGGCGTTGCGTCGACGAGGAGTTGGGCTTCCAGTCTGATCAAAGTCGATGGAAGGACTCTCGAAAAGAGTGTCGAGGTCGTCGGCCCGAGTGGGGACGTGGTTCTCCTTCTGACCTCCCTTGTCATCCTTTGTCGAAGCAATGCGAGGGCTGCGACGAGGGGAACAGCTATTTACCATAGAGGCATCAAGTTCCTTCAACGGGCCCTCATTCTGGGCATTCTGGAAAAGCGATCTTCTCAGAGGCTTGGGGGTCGCAGTGGTGCTATCCGCTGATGAGGTGGGACGGGGCTGCGTGCGTCTAGCAGGGCTGGACCGAACGGCACGGCGCATGGCCTCTCTCGCGTCTTGCTTGTTCCAATTGGGAGCCGACTCCTCAGTCGGGTGCTGCGGTTCGGTACTGTTTGCTCGAGAGCGCTTGTTGGGGGAAGCACCTTCGTCGTCATCCATTTGAGGAGTCTCGCCCTCAGCCGGCACAGAAGAAGCTTCGGTGGCTGCCGGAGAAGAAGCTGCCGGCTTGTGGGGAGCAGCCTTGCTCCGAGTTCTGGTGGCAGGGCAAGAGTTGGGAGCCTTGCCATTGCTGGCTCTAGCAGGACGCTTTCTTTTCTTGGCCGCTGGCTGCTTGGACCACTTATGCTCTGGACGCATTTCCTTGAACTTGTGAAGCCACAGACCACATGGGTTGCAGAAGGTCATCTGCTTCCAATGGTCCTCGTTCTCCTTCTTGTAGATCAGGAACTTCTGGACTTCACCCTCGGAGTTCCGATCCAAGACATCCCAGAACAACATGAAAGGGCGCTGCATCATCTCTTCTGCATCCTTGTCACTTCCCTCGACTTCTTTCGACCATGCTCGGCGCCAGCTGGGAGTTTCGATTGAGCCACAGTTTTCGCAATATGGCGGAACCTCTCCTTTGGCAATAGCTTGCTCCAAGCGTGTCTGCATGTTGATTGCCTGCTTTGTCCGCTTAGCCTTGGTGTTGACGTTGGCATTAGTCTTGGTGGTTTCAAGAGGCATGAATTTCACGTCCACGGGGCGAGAAGGCACAATGGGGTCGCTGGCGGGAATGGCGCGCATCAGTGGGTGACACTGGTTGTGGGGAGCAATTGGTCCTGGCAGCAAGGGTTTGGGCGCCAAGCGTTGCGGGCCGGCACTTGAAGAGGGTCTTGATCCAGATGTAGCGGGTCGAGACTGCGCAGGTGGTGCCTGAGTCATAGGCTGATCCGTTGTAATCTCGTCGACAGGGAGTGGGTCATTGGAGGTTCCTTTATGGGGGCCAATGGTGCTGACTGGGGAGCTTGCTTGCACTGTAGGTCGAACAGGGCGTTTTTCCTGAGTGATCTCGTGGGACTCTGCCCTTCTGCGGTCATCCCGGGGTGTGGTGGTCTCATCGTCAAGAAGATCTTCCAATCCGGCACTCATGAAGCCAGAGTCAGTGTCCAAGGCGATGGGTGGCAAGACAGGGCTAGATCTGTTCAGCAGACGGCCATCGAAAACGGGAGGTGATGATGGCATGCTGAAGGATGGCTCGAAGAGACCCTGGTATCGACTATCCTCGGGTGAAGCACCGGTCTGATCTGTACCTGGCATGTCGTCACTCTGGCAATAGGGAGAATTGTATGTAGCTGGGCAAGAAGCAATGCTTGCGATGGATGATTCCCGTAACAAACTAGCTGTAGGTCGAGATCGGCGAGTGAAATCAGATGGCCGAGACATGGGAGTGGGTGGGCGGACGGGCTCTTCATAGGACTGCTCAGCGGCGATAGCAGGGTTCACAGGGGTTGGGCGGTGAATCCGAACTGAGGCCGCGGTACTGGCTGCAACCCGTAGCGAGCTGGGTTGTCTTTCGATGTTCATAGCTGACTTTCCGGGCCAGCTTGCTTGGTACACCTTGGCTCTCTTGCGGGGCTGGGGGTCGGTAGATTCCTCCTCACCACTGCCATATCCGGACTGCATCGAGCCTCGGCGTTGATGATATGATACTTGGCTCTGGAAGTCATTTTCCCGCATAGAAGCACTCGATGAAGGGCGAATAATATCACTGTGAGGGTTGTTGTGTTTGGAGTAAGATTGATGATGGGCAGGTGTTCGAGAACCACCAGGCGTTGAAACTCTGCTAGGAGCATATGAATGTGAAGGCGAGACCGAGCGGACAGATTCGTTAGGTTGGAAGTTAGAGAATTCTCTTGGCGTTGACCCTTCACTCAAGAGCTGGTGAAACCTCTCAATCCCGGAGTGGTGCATCGGCGAGCCGGCGTGGCTTTGGGTCCTCGAGGACTCCAGCAAGGCAGGGTTCTGACGGACAAAGTTTGTCCAAGATTGTGCATCAAAGTCGCCTGGAATGACATTGCTCAAATCGCGGTACTTTTGTATGCTATCGAGGTACTCACTCTGCATGACAGTTGGGACAGGCACCAGCCGCAACTTGACTTCCAGCGTCTCTTGGGCGGCACCCTTGGAGAAGAGGCCGAGGGTGTTTTTGCAGACTCGTCCGGTGACCATAGTCTTTGATTGAGCTTCGTTTGGCGAAGAAGACGACAACACCCATGAGAGCATGCCTTGGCCGACGAGAGGCGTTTCATATTCTGAGTAGTCGTAGGCGTACACTGTGTAATCTTTTCCGAGCTGAGCCACAAGTTCAGGGCTGAGAAAAATGTGTAAGCATGCCACCTTTGTAGGCCGGGGTAGATAATCCTCACCTAGCAGACACAATTGCCTGAATACATGTTTTTAACTCGATCACTCCAATTGGAGTGTTCTCGTCAAGGTAGGCCGTCTGGATATCGAGCACGTGAGGCCATCTGGCAAGGCAATTCGTTTTGTTCTCGCTGTCAAATGTGTAAAGAACCTTCACTGTATGCAAAACATGCTTAGTACTGGAATAGCTTCATTTGAGCAGCATTGGGAACATACGCCTCATAGGGCGGACATCGATGCCATCCTGAGATTCCATTTCATCAGACTTTCTCTGCCCACCATACAAGACGGAGGGTAAAGGGGATAAAATGGAAGCTCCAGGAAGGAGAGGGTCTCGACTTGGTATAGAAGTCGAGGATCCAAGTTGTTGAAGAGTGAAAGAAGAAAGAAGAGATCGAGGAAAGAAATCGTCGACTCAAGCCGGAGGGTTGAGAATGGACCAAAAGGAGGAATTAGCGAGCTGACTGATCAGCACTGCATCTCTAGTATCTGGTCGACCGGGAG